TAGGTACTTCAAAGATAGTTTAAAGTCTGGTACGCGATCAAACCGAGGTTCTGGTGTGAGAAGGCTCGTGAAACCAAATGGGAGTATGCCAAACAATTTGTCAACGTTCCTCCGTTGCGACGAAAACAAGACAGAACTGTTTCCGCTAATTGTCAAATCATTGACCGAGAACATTAACTGCGCTAATGGAGTCTTCGTTGGGACTGTCGAAGACGGGGCGGTTTCAAACCAAGCTGATATCGATCTCGAGCCATTGATGCCATGCAACATCGAAGAGGCAGATGAGCGTATTTTTGTGCATGTCAGAAATGCTGCTGAAGAATGTTCCCGTATTCTGGTCAAGACCGTGGATAGTGATGTTGTTGTGATTGCTCTTTCAGCTTTCCACAGAATACCCGGCCTCCAGGAGCTGTGGCTCGAGTTTGGAGTCGGGAAGCATTTGAGGTTCATATCAATTCACGAGATTGCCAATTCCCTCGGACCCCAGGCCTCCACCGCTTACCTCTTCTTCCACTCGTTTAGTGGCTCCGATACCACCTAATCACTCCACGGAAAGGGTAAGAAGTCGTTTATTGACACCTGGAAGAAGATGGCCAGTGCAACAACTGTATTCGAGAAAATAGCAACGTCTCCGAGAGATATAAGTCAAGCCGACAGAGTCATTATCGAACAATTTGTTGTTACCCTGTATTGCAAAGCATTTGATGGTATCAAGGTAAACGAGGCGAGGCGATACCTATTTGCAAGTCGAGGTAAGGCCATTGAAAATATCCCTCCAACGGCTGCGGCACTCAACGAACATGTAAAGCGATTAGTTTTACAAGCACAGAAGTGATACGACTGTCTCGAAGCCCACAGAATTGAAATGGATCCAGTGAACGGGGGGATGGATTAAGGATGACGATGAATTCGTACCCGTTTGTAGTATTCTGCCGGACGTATCAAATGTGGCCAAATCGCTCATTTCTTGTGGATGCACAAGTTGTGTTGCGGCGAGTTGCAAATGCAAAAAGAGTGGGCTGAAGTGTACCGAGTTATGCGGTTGTCGGACTAAATGTTAAACCAGGGACAAGCTTTGCGGTTACCAAAGAAGATCACTACAGGTTAGTTATGGTTAGGTAAAACGCGCATCGAGGGTCAAATGGTTCTAAATCTATTAAAAGGCGAAGTTTTCACATTATTAATAAACAATTAAACAGTTTTTGCGAACAGAAAATAAAACGAAAAACATAAAATCTAGGACCTTTTTTGTTTTTAATGTTCTGTAGCGAAGAGCCTGGATACGAGTTTGAAACTAGGTTAGTTTATCGGCCTCTGTTAGTTCAATTTCTATGTTTTAAGATTGCTTGAAATACTAAGTATATCTCTGTAATATGTAAAAGTGATTACATTGGTAATTATGTTGATGACGTCATATAACTGACGTCATCGATCGGCCATCTTGGATTCCGCCATCTTGGATTTTTGATGTCCGAAAAAAGTACTTTTCCCTACTCAAATTTTGGGCACCCCTTCCATTCCATATTCTTGATATCATAATCTATCATTGTGCCAAGTGCGGGCTTGTTGTCACGATTTGAAGGATTGTTTTGGCTAACAGGCCCACTATAGTGATTTAGGTACTTGTCGAGTTCATTCACTTTCAGTTTTTTAAGAACTCCGTCTTCAAATAATCTCTTCCAATCATAATCCTCAAACGTTTTTTTTCTTGGTCCTTCATCTGAATCTCTCTTACATTATCTCCAAAATCTGTAAATGCACCACATACTTCTTCGCCAACTCCTTTTAACATGCAAATGTCATGCAAAAGTGTTCAAACTCATCCTCTGTGTTCAGCTTGTCTTGTTCGAAGAAATTCTTTGCATTCTTTCTTGGCTGGAAATCATCAACAGTACGGGGCTTTCCGTCGATTTCAATTTCGGTGTGAAAAACATTCTTATAATGGAGACCATCCGCAGAGTAGTCCGGTGTTGGTTTTGGGATTCTTGTACATTTTGAACCCACCCAGTCTAATTCAGAACAGAATGCACAAGTAGACAGTGCAGAATCAGCACAGGAAAGTCTAACATACTCAAGATATTTCTCTCCAATTTCGAAGTGATTTTCCATGAAAGCTAGGACTTTCTTGAAGTAGTGACAACCTGGTATAGATTTTCTATCCCTCTGTTGCACTAATAAACTCCTTCAGACACTGATGATCATTAAATCAAAGGTCCTCGTTCTTCTGTGAGGTGTAGGCCTTCATGTATCCATCCGGGGCAGGAGCTTCATCAATCCGACAAGTAAGATCGTCACAGACCTTAAAGGCGTTGTATTCAATCCGTTTAAGTTCATAGTCCTCAATTTCAGCAAGCTTCTTCTGTTCTATATGTTCATTTGTTAGTCCTTCCTGATGTTGGTGTTCCCATTCTAATGGACCCCCATCACAGATGGCATCACCAACGTATGACTGAATCCGCTCCACCTCGTTGTGACTACTATCACCATTGGAAAGGTGATGCCGAATATAGTAATCAGGATTAGTTAGCATGATCACTTCAGCAGTCCTGTATTTCACATCATGATTGGTAACACCCACGCCAGGTCCCGCCTCGGTAAATTCGTGTATTCTGGACTTCAGAGTAGGTATGTAGGAGGTGATTTTCCTACACAAGTTATGGCACTGGTAGCCTAATGTGGTTGTGGATTCCAAGATAGCAGCTTTTGATTTATTTGTTACATACTGCTTTTTAATGTTGCTAATTGAATGCAGGACAGTTTCCAAGTCATCGAGTATTTCAGTGTTTTCAAAGTCTGGAACTTTGGTGCGAAATTCATCAACATTAAGTTTTAGACAGTGTAGTCGTTCCGATTGATAGACACGAAAAGGGCATTTATTGTCAGTGACCGTCAATTCATAACATCGTCTTTGACAGTTATCAAAGAAAACTGTTTCATTCTGTCCATCAGTTTTATAAGAGGATTGGTACATTCAGTGACACTGTCGTTTGTGCCGGTGTCGTTAGTGTCTTTAACGAGAAACAGATGAGGCTCTTCAAAGCGTAATTTACTGTACTCAGAGGCCCAGACAGAACCATTGCTGCCAACAAAGTATTTGGGACGATTGAAAACTACAGTGTTGTCCTCTGAAATTTTTATCTTTTTGTCATTATCGACCTGCTTTAGTTCGAAATCCATTACCCTGTTTACTCCCGGAGTCACATTTACAAAGCGAAGTGGAAAGTCATATCTTGGTAATGTCTTCTGCTTTGGTAAATCAGTTGGCTGCACAACTCGTTGGTTTCTTGCACTGCAGATACCTATTAAAATCACGATACGTTGGGTTATTGAATCGGGAAATAAAATAATTAATTAACATGCTGCAGCAACCCTAATCTCGAATAGATTATATGGTATTTTGCTGCTTTATAGATTTCCTTTCTCTGCTGTTCTATGCTATGAAGTTTTAATAGTGTAGTATTTTAATATGAAACCAATGTAACAATGGCTTTTTAGTACACATTTCGAAACCGTATAGCGCTTTCTGTTAATTGATTTGCCATGCGTAGCAATCCGTTTAAACATGCATTAAAACATGCACGTGTCACAGAAGATATACAGGGAGGGACAGGCTCACACGCAGCTTTAATGTTGGGTGTGAATTGTGAAAACTATAACTTTGACAAGTTCAAAAGTCGTTCGAGCCAATGTTTAACTCAGTGCACACTATTGGAGTTTTGCAAGAGCACAATTTTAATATGAATTATAAATTTTGGATATGCAGATATTGGATAGTACGTTGTTATAATGCAGTGCGATTGTAGCTCGAAAGGTATGAAAACATACTCAATACCTCTCTCCTCCGCAGAGACTTACATGAAGTTTCTAGTGAGGGAAAAGTGAGCGCGCAAGGAGTGATGGGAAGAACTAAATAAAGGAAGCCTCTGCGAGTTAATGCAATCAATATGGCGTCGTATATAATCGTTTGTAGCAAAGTTCGATCAACCATCGGGGGTGTTAAAACATGTTTTCGACTTTCATTTTCTGGCGTACTTGAGTATCCTGGGGGTGAATTCAATATCAATATCTTCTTCTGTCCATTTGCATCGAAAAATATTGAGAAATTGCAAACGAATATCAATGGATACGAGCTATCTGATTATAAATATCCTTTTAATTGCAACATTTCTTTATAAAAATGAC